CGAATCAAACATGAACATGACTTGACATAGGCTATACGCACGACCGAATGCAACTTATGGCCATATCGAGAACATGACTTAAGCAAATTGATCTAACATGACTTAAGTAACTTCAAGAAAAAGTAGACCAATGTTACCTCTCCACATGTTCGACTGATTCGCACAAACGCTCGTGATCACTCAGAGCTTCCGTGCGTGCGGCGTCTCTCGCGTGCGTGCTTGAGCCTAAGCCTTGCGTGCGGTACTCTCTTAGACTAAGGGAAAATTCTCACTAACTCTCTATACTAGGTACTTTCTTAGGAATATATATTAGGTGTAAGGCAAAATTCTCCCCACACATAACATATATATACTTGGCCGAAACTAGATGGGGAGGTGGAGACTTGGTGGCTTCTCCATCTTGTGCCACTTGCCATCATTAGGAGCATTATGATGCTAACTCACCCTAAATCTAGCTTAGTCATGACATAAGTGCTAGAATTAGGACACCTCAAGCTTAGGGAAAATTAATGTTTCCCATGAATTTCTCTTAAATGCCTACGGCATTAATAAGATATTTTTTTTTTTACACAATTCACTTATAATGCTACGGCATTTGAGTGATTAATTATGATTAATTATTAATTAATCACCACCTTATGCTTAATTAATTAACTAAGCATAATACTTAATTACCAAAATTATTCCGAACACAAACGTGACTTCGAAAATAATTTCGGATAATCTCAACTGAAATAATTAATTCCGAAAATAATAATCGACAATATTATTATATCGGAACTAAACACATGATTTATATTACTAACAGGACGGGATATTACAATCCTCCCTCCTTAAAAATTTCCATTCTCGGAAATTCGAAACGCAACTGAATATACATGAACTATATATATACATGAAACATAAGAAAATATATACATCAGAACTGAAAATCGGAAAAACGAGCGCGAATATCTGCCTCCGACTCCCAAGTAGCTCCGTGGCGATTCCACTGAATACGAGCGAGGGGAACATCTCGCTTCCGAAGCCGACGAACCTGACGGTCTAGTACAGCTACCGGTCGCTCCTCGTAAGATAAGTCTGGCTGAATCTGAGTATCTGTATGGGGAATGACATGATCGGGGTCGCACACGTACTTACGCAACATGGATGCGTGAAAAACATTATGAACGCTGGATAACTCGGGAGGTAAGGCTAATCGGTACGCGACTTCGCCCACCTGCTCGAGAACCTCGAACGGGCCAATGAATCGAGGGTGCAGCTTCCCTCTCTTCCCGAATCGAACAACTCCGCGAAACGGACGAACTCTGAGAAAAGCTGGCTCACCAACCTCGAACTGAATCTCTCGTCGATGATGATCGGCTGAAGATTTCTGTCAACTCTGAGCTGTCTTGAGTCTCTGCCGGATCAACTCGACCTGATCTGTGGTTTCCTCGATCATCTTCGGACCGAGTACTCGACGCTCGTCGACGTCGTCCCAATAAAGAGGGGAACGACACTTACGACCGTAAAGTGCCTCGTAAGGAGCCATCTGAATAGAAGAATGATAGCTTTTGTTGTACGCAAACTCAACGTAAGGCAACAACGACTCCCACTTAGCACCCTTGTCAACAACCAAAGCTCGTAACATATCCTCTAGCGTCTGAATGGTCCGCTCGGATTGACCATCAGTCTCCCGATGATAAGCTGAACTGAACTCTAGTTTCGTACCCATCGCCTCGTGTAAACTCTGCCAGAATCTACAGACAAATCTGGGATCTCTGTCTGACACGATAGTAACAGGCACTCCGTAGAGTCGAATGATCCCACGGGTATAAATCTCAGCCAACTTATCCAAAGACATCCTCATCGAAACTGGTAAGAAATGAGCGACCTTAGTCAATCTGTCGACCACGACCCAAATAGCATCGTGATGTTCAGACGACCTCGGTAACCCCATGACAAAATCCATCGTGACTTACTCCCATTTCCACTTCGGAATCGGTAGTGGTTGTAGGAGGCCTATTGACTCTTATGTTTGGCTTTGACTTGCTGACCGGTAAAACATCTCATGACAAAGTCGGCAACGTCCTTCTTCATCCCTCGCACCAGAACGACCCTTTCAGGTCATGATACATCTTCGTGCTTCCGGGATGAGCTACGTATGGTGCGGTATGAGCCTCCGTCAATATCTCCTTCCGCAACGCCTCGACTTTTGGCACCACGATCCTGCCTCTGAACTCCAAGGCACCATCGATACCTCGCTGAAAACCCTCGACGCCTCCGGCGCGGACTTTGGTATCCATGACACGAACAAACTCGTCTGAAGCCTGCTCCCGCCGGATTCTCTCTCTCAGCGTCGGCTGAATCTGCATGGCACTGACACTCCCCGAAATGGCTCTGAAAAGTGCATCAACCAACCGAATCTGCATTCGGGTGAATTCTTGAATCAAACGACTCTACTGAGTAACGACGTACGTCAAGTCACCCCTCACCTTGCGGCTTAGGGCATCTGCAACGACGTTCGCTTTCCCCATATGATACTGAATTGAGCAATCGTAATCCTTGACGAGCTCTAGCCAACGGCGCTGTCTCATGTTGAGCTCCTTCTGAGTGAAAATGTATTGCAAGCTGTTATGATCTGTGAAAATCTCGCATCGACCGCCGTAAAGATAATGTCGCCAAATCTTGAGAGCATGAAAAACTGCGGCTAACTCCAAGTCGTGCGTCGGATAATTCTGTTCGTGTGGCTTGAGCTGGCGTGAAGCATACGCAACAACCTGGCCATCCTGCATAAGTACACATCCCAAACCTTGTTTCGAAGCATCACTGAAAATGGTGAAACTCTGAGAAGGATCGGGAATAGTCAACACCGGTGCTGAAGTTAATCTCTTCTTGAGCTCCTGAAAGCTCGACTCACAACGATCAGTCCACTCGAACTTCACAGACTTCCTCGTCAGCTGGGATAGTGGGAGGGCAATCTTGGAAAATCCCTCGATGAACCTGCGATAATAACCAGCTAGACAGAGAAAACTGCGAACCTCGGACGGACTCTTCGGTGTCGACCAGTACTGAACAGCTGAGACCTTGGAAGGATCTACCTCGATACCTGCCTGAGTAATGACATGGCCAAGAAAGGCTACTCGCTGGAGCCAGAACTCGCATTTGAAGAATTTTGCATATAACTTTTCTTGTCTGAGGGTTTCGAGAACCCTCAGATGCTCCTCGTGCTCCTTCTGACTCTTTGAGTAGATAAGAATATCGTCAATGAAAACAATAACGAAATGATCGAGGTAGGGATGGTAAATACGATTCATCAGGTCCATGAAAACCGCTGGAGCATTACTGAGGCCGAATGGCATGACGACAAACTCATTATGGCCGTAACGAGTACGGAAAGCGATCTTAGCAATATCTGACTCCTTGATTTTCAGCTGGTGGTAGCCTGATCGCAAATCAATCTTTGAGAAGACACAGACTCCCCTCAGCTGATAAAATAAATCGTCGATCCTGGGAAGCGGATACTTGTTTTTGATCGTCAACCGGTTAAGATCCCGGTAGTCGATACACATGCGCATGGAACCGTTCTTCTTCTTGACAAAGAGAACGGGTGCTCCCCAAGGTGACACGCTCGGTCGAATGAAACCGAGTCGCAATAACTCCTGGATTTGCGCCTTAAGCTCTTCAACTCCTTCAGCGCCATACGATACGGGGCTTTGGATACTGGGCCGGCTCCTGGAATGAGATCGATAGAGAACTCTACCTGTCGGTTGGGCGGTCCACCTGGAAGTTTGTCTGGAAACACATCCACAAACTCACGAACAACGGGAACGTCGTGAGGTGATCGTGCTTTCTGAGAGTCATCGACAAGGCTCTCGAGATAACCCTGACAGTTGCCTCGTCGCAGCATCTTGGTGGCTTTCGCCATCGAAACAACATGAGGTAAGGAACGATTCTTGGTGCCAAAGAATGTAATAAGATCGTCTCCCGGAAGATAAAGAGTAATCTCCCGGTCATGGCATCGAATGTCTGCTTGTTAATAGGATAGCCAATCCATTCCGAGAATGAGGTCAAAGTCCCTCATCTCGAGAACATACGCGTCGGTAGACAATATACGACCACCGATGGACAGGCTGAGATCTGAAGCTTTAGCAGTGGTCACTATCTTTCGTCCCGAGGCTAAACTCACCTCGAGAGGATAGACAGCGGTAATGGCATTAACTCCGATGGCATCAAGACATCGTCGTGATATAAAAGAATGTGTCGCTCCAGTATCAAACAAGGCGAAAACAGGAACATCATTAAGTATAAGCATCCCTGACATGGTACCTGACTGCTGCTCTGCCTCTGCCTGATCAACTGCATAGACTCGAGCCTGCTGTCTGCCCCTCTGCTGCTGCTGCTGTGGCGGCCTCTGAGCCTGCTGACAGGGCTGCTGCTGTTGTGGCTGCTGTGGTGGTTGTTGCGCTTTCCTCGGACAACGGTTAGCAAAATGTCCGGGCTCATGACAGTAGTAACAGATATCCTGGCCAAAGCGACATTCTCTGCGGTGAAGTCGTCCACAAGTGGGGCATGGTGGAACCTGCTGTTGCCTCTGGCGGGTTCTCATGTCGGTCTGAGCGCCCTTCCCCTTCCTCTTCTTCTCCTTCGTCGGCTGGACAGCTGGTAGGACTGATGGAGCTATGGATGATTGGGCGGGGTGGATGGTTGAGAACGATCGCGGCTTGTCTCCCTTCGGATGCTGGCGTCTACCTCTTGAGCAATCGAAACAGCACGAGCATAGGTCTGGGTCCCGTGACCTACTATGTTGTGACGGACTGCTGGGTAAAGCCCGTCGATGAAGCGTTGTGCCCTCTGTGCCTCCATACGTACCAAGTCCGGAACAAAAGCTGCAAGTCTAGTAAACTCCCTCTCGTACTCATCAACAGAACGAGTACCCTGCTTGAGCGACAGAAACTGACGCTCCATCTCTGCTCGGTAATACGTGGGATAGTACTTCTCACGGATTAGCTCCTTGAGTCTCTCCCAGGTACAACCCTCTTTCTCGCCGGGACGCATGCTCCAGTAGGCATTCCACCAGAGTCGAGCATCGCCGGTAGCTGAAGCTGTGCGCATATAACGCGATAGCGATCTGGACAGTCCATGACCTCGAAAATTAACTCAAGGCCCTGAATCCACTCGTCCACAATCCGGGGATCTCCCTGACCGGAGAATTTCTCAGGATGATAGTCGCGAAACTGTGCAACTACTGTGGCCTGGGAAATAACCGGGTGATCGAGTTCCCTACGGAGCGGCATCTGAATATTGAGGAAGTTCAATATTATTGAACACATGAAAAATACTTTAACTGATTACTAAAGCACACAAATCTCTTGACGAGTTGCCAAATATGGCTGGAAAATACTGACTTGAATCATGGGGAAATCTAGAGTTATATCTGAGTACACTGAACTTATGGGTTCTGAACCTGATTCGAGCATCTTAACTAAGTCATGATTAATAAATTTCTGAGCATAGACAAAGTAATTTGTTTATAACTTAAAAACATAAATCGGCACTTACCTGTAGTCGGCGAGGCGTGAGCGTGACGGTTCAGGTTTTTAAAAAATTTCTGACTTGTAAAAACTTTCAGAGACGCAGAAACGTGCTCTGATACCAATGGTAACACCCCGCTATTTCATGAAAATCAGAGTGCGATTTTCGCAAAATTTTTCTAATAAAAACATTTATTTTGCGAAATACTGATTCGGAGTGTTACTGTAAAATCTGTCTTATTCTGAAAACCGTTATTTTAGCTTAATAATAAAACAGTTATATAACATGATAACCGACTAACGTCGGATCAAAAGCTGGTTTAGTAAACTGAAATAGTAGCGGAATCATAGTGTAGCCAAAAATAATTTATGCATATATACAAATGTCCGGTCGCCCGCTCACTCCTCGGCTCCGACTCTGTGACCTGAAAAACATGAATAATGTGGGGGCGTGAGCACTAATCCACTGTGCTCTGCAGAAACTCATACTAAAGTAAACAGTGAAAATAATAACAATATCATGATCCTGGTATATATAACTGAACTGATACTGAACTGAAACTAAAACTGATGCCAGTACTGAATAATCATAATCTGATACTGATCTCGTGATAAACATCACCTGACTGATAACTTAACATCTGCCGGCATAAAAATGTCGGACACCATGTGCACACTCTAGTGGGCAGACTAGGCCACTAGAACCCAGAATGGACCGACGACCATTCCGAGTGGATACTGATAATACATACCTCAAACATGGTAGCGTAATTATAATCAATGTAATACCCAGTCTGAGTCCCCACCTGATCCTTTGAAAATGAAAGGCAGTGCTGATATCTGAAGTCTGATCAAACTGAAATATAAACAATTACTAAGTACTATGCACAGACTGATAAAAATAGTTGTTTAATATGTTAAGATGCTCTACTGGACTTGACATGATACTTGGATTTAATCGGTATAACTGGAACCGATTAAATACGGAACTGA